TACCCCTCCCCCATCCCAAAAACTTTCTCTGCACACTTGCGCTGCAGGTATGCTCCAACCCCAACCCCCCATACCCCTCCCCCATCCCAAAAACTTTCTCTGCGGATTTGGGCTGTACTCAGCAAGCGCAGTAAGGCTGCGCAATCAGCTGATGCCTATTTTCTGACTGGTCGGCGGACCGCCGACCGGTCAGCCCCGATCGGTCAGGACAAAACGGTCGGCGGTCGGCGCGGGTGCAACTCTGCTCTAGAGTCTATAGACACATTTTCCACAATAGGATACTTCGCTGTCAACAAAACTTTTCCTCCCACTTTTCCAACTCGGCCTGGATGCACCTGACCGTAATTATGTCCACAGAGAACTGGAAAATGTCCTTGTGGGAGTATGCCCTCAAATCCATCTATGCCAACACAAATGTCCCTTTTCCAAACTCTAAAATCGGCATATGTTAATAAAACGCCCCGCTTTCCCACCTCTCAAATCCATCCATACCAACAAAACGTCCCCTTTTTCCAACCCCTCAAAACGCATTTCTGTTGACTCACTTCCTGTTGGTGGCATCGGATCATTCATCTGAGTAATTCAAATGAAGTAGCAAGCAGTTCGAATCAAGCACAAACTCACTGCAAACACAAGTGCCGGGAGTCCAGTCCCGCTTGTGCCGATTTTCATTTCCGAGTGTTGATCCTAGTAATCTACGGAAATTGATAATTCCCGTAAGTCGGCCTTGGGCCCAGGACATCGAAAAGCACAGGCGTCAGGACAGAGAAAAACTAATTAAAGCACCAGTACTGCGTAAAGTCGTGGCCGTAAACAAGCCACGATTTTAGGAAGCGTATGGGCCACTACAGGAGCGCCCAAATTCATCAGACTAGAAACGTTTCTACTCTATTTTTTTGCTTGTCCGACAGCTGGGCCAAGTACAGGTGGTTTACAGGTTCAGACAGGCTTACAGGGACTTCAAGCATACTCACACGAGCACTTTTCCTAAATGTATCTGACTGCAATTGCAGCGAGACCTGGATGAATCTGACTGCAGTCTCGACCGGAGCTTAGTGGAAAAAGTCCTAGTGTGAGTATGCCCGTAGACGGACCTACAGGGACTTGGGGGCAGATCCCACTTCTTATAAGCAGGGGACTTTTAGGCCAAATTTGGGATCCCCCTTCTTTCCACGAAACTCGGATCCCGTCCCGCAACGTCGGGGAAGTGGAAACGCTCTCGTACGTGGAGGCGCGAGCGTGATTGCAGTGGCGTTAGTTCTTCCGATTTTCGGAAGAGGCCACCCCCTACCCTGCACCGTGAAAGAAGGAGCCCTTGTTTGTTTCTTCCTTTTTTCCTGATGTGCAGGCCGTTGGATCCTCGAGGCGCCAGAAGATAGTGCCGCTCCGTTAGGAAAACTCCCGCAGATGTAGGGCATGTGGGGTCGCGTTTTTCTTTCACGTTCCGTGCGCTGCGCCTCCACCTTTCGCAGCACTTTTACGTTCTCACGAAAAATGGTAGAAGTGGGATCTGCCCCTTAGGGTCTGATCCCACACTACTTATGGTAAGTAAATAGTAGTGTTTTGCCTGATCCCACATGATTCCGCAGACCAAGGCGGTGGCGGCAGCTTAGGAGGAAAGCAGAAACCTTTGAAGTCGTGGCGGGCATGGAATGATCGGCGCCGAAAAAGCTTGAGGGAAAATGGAAGAGAACCGGGGCCGTACCCTGCAGCGAAAAAGGTCTTTTTTTTTCTTCTTTTTTTTTTGGTGAGTGTGTGTCTGTTTGGTTGGCGTGGTTTGTCCGTGGTTGCGTTTGGTCTGTGACACGGCAGGCCCCAGCGGGGCTGTAGGGAAGTTGGTCGTTGAAGTGGAAGTGTACAATATTCGGTCCCTCACGACCGGGCCCACCAAAAAGCGCCGCTACCCACGTGAAAGCTCCACCGGTGCCGGTACTGTGGGGTCCCCGTTTTCTTTTACGGGACTACGGGAGCGGACCCAGCTTTTTTGTTTCTTTTACAGCTTCTTAGTATGGGATCAGACTCTTAGCGCTTTCCTAAATATAGAGATGGGCAACGGATACCCGGACCCACACCCACCTGCACCCGCCCCAACCCTGAGGGATTGGGTCAGGTGTGGGTCTTGATAAGCTGGCTTGGGTGAGATGAGGGCGGGTCTAGGCGAGCCCATCTGGGTGGGTGATGGACGGGTCAGTGTTAGGCCTCCGTCACCCGAATGGGTGGGTGACAGGCAGGTGAGCGCTAGGCCTGGGTCACCTGACCCACAGACCCAGGAAAACCCATGAGAACCCCCCCCCCCTCATACATATTTTCCAGCTGCGGTCCACCTGTGGACAGGCCCAGGAAACGGAAAGTCTAGACCCTGGGGCCCCCTGGAAAAAAAGGTTGTGGTCCTTGAAAAAAAAGGAGCGACGCCAGTGGCAAATCGAAAATTGGGATCCTCCTTGAAAAAATGTGTTGCGCTCTACCGGTGGCATCATGACCACGGCCCAACAATGGGATTTTCCATGGTAACCGCGGACCCGGACACCGGACACTTCCGGACTGTACTCCGGCTATCTGGACTGGTCCGGACTGTCCGGTGATCTGGACAGTCCCGACTGATGTCAGGGGGTCAAAAATGTCCGGACCAGAAAAAACAAAAAAAACAAAAAAAAAAGGGGGAGGAGGAGGGGGGAGGCGGGGGGTGTTGGCAGGCACTCACCTGCTTTGCACTTCGTAGTTCAGCCAGCAGAGCACCTGTCTTGCAGCAAATCAACAAGCATATTCAACTAGCAAACATGCGGAGTTGCAAAGAGTGCAAAGCAGGCACAAGACTCGAAACCCCGCCACCCCACCTCAATCACCTGTGTCCCGGCTTTCGACCCCCTGTCCGGTAGGCCGAATGAAACTTGAAATTCGTCCCGGTGTTTTTCAGGGGGCGCCCAGGACCTGAATTTGTTTTTCGTTTTTTGGGCTGGGGGCCGGTTTCCGGATGTCCAGGACCAGACACCGGACCCTACATCTTGTCCCAGACTGTCTGGAACCCTGTCCGGACGTCCGGTCGGTTACCATGGGATTTTTGCTCCTGTTAAAACAACGGGGATTGAACCTAACCACAACAAAGTTCGCTCCCCAATGTCAAACTTGTGGAGCGCTTCGAATTTTCACACTGTCATCCAAGGACGGGTCAAAGATGGAGAATCTGGAGATGCTTTGAATTTTTGTGCCATCATCCAAGGATGTCATGTTGGTGTGGTGCATGTAAACGTTCGAAGGGACTGATGCAATGGGGAACGGGTGGGTGTGGGTGGAAAATAATTCGGTACCGGGTGCGGGCGGGTTATCTTATTCTCGCGGGTGTGGGTGGGTCAGGGTGAAGGTTTTTTAAGGGTGACGGGCGGGTTGGGTGTGGGAGGAAATCTTCAAAAAAACACTTGGGTGGGTTGGGTCACCTTGATTTTTTTTTATTTTATTTTTTAGGGCGGGCTGTACTTCAAAAAATGTGGGCGGGTTGGGTGAAATATATTCATCT